CGCATGCAAATCTGGACGTGAGTGTGGCTTCCCCTGCTCCGGAGGGCTCCACGGGGACCTCCGGGGAGTTGCCGGTGTGTGGACGGGAGCGTCCAGGCTGCCCGTCCACGTGGATCGCAAACGAGACCCACAAGCTCGCTGAGAGTAGGCTAGGCCATACGCCCATGCCAAACGATGCAGTGGTTGCACACGATGAGAACCGGGGGACTCCAGGGACAGCTGTCGAGGTAGCCAGCGAGGGGTCCTGGCTGGCAGATCTTGGTGGCGATACGTGGGCAACGGAGGGAATTGATCCGCAATTGCTCACCGCCGCCGCAGGTGTTTTTGCCCAATGCGTTGCACCAAAGGACAATGTGAATGGTGTCGGAGTGGATAATTGCAGTTTAATCATTGTTGAGCGACGAGCATAAAAAGGACGGTGCTTACCTTTTCTGATTCTTGTTGAAATAATGATACACATATATTTATTTATACATAACAAATGAACGAAGTAAATAAAATGTAAGAAGAAAATATAAAAGTAATTATTATGGGCTAACAAAAGGACAATGCTTTATCTTAGGAACTAAGTATCATTCCTTTCTAAGCAATCTTCTTCTCCTCATTGCCTCAAAGTGAGATGCACTGATATTCATAGGTGTATATCAAACACATGTCCAGCCTTTTATAAACATATGGAGAGGCAAGAATATTTAATAGAATTCAATTGTATCAAGAGCCATGGGTGCTTCGGTATATACACTTTATCTTCCTCGCGCATTGCTCGCGCAGATTGTTGTGGCTAAAGCCACGTGTAACGGAAAAAAATAATTGCATATGACTTTATTAGTTCACATTTCATCTTTCATTTTGATTTGTTGCTATCATCATATTTTTTCATATTTTTCTATTGGTGTGTGAATGCTGCATTTATATGAAGACCTGCACATTTTATCACCAGATGGATAACGAAAGTCTAAAAATGCTCAAAAACTATGGGGGCGATATGCTGTTTATGTCAAGCTGCAAGTCCCACGGACTTGATTAATGCTGCATGTGAATTCCCCTCGCGGTGATCATTTTTTCTCGCGCTCTTCTCTCCACCCTGATGATCAACTTAGTGTTATTATTATGGCTCCCCTGCGTTCCAGTATTGATGTTGTATATGTGAATGTAAAGAAGGTATACTCTTCGTATCTTTCTCCTTCCGGTCTTCTCTTGTACGGTTATCCCTTGATCGATTTTTATTTCTAGATTTCTTTCAAGACATTAGTCTGGACGAAAATGAGCTAGCTTCCTCCATCTTCTCCTTGTATCCTCCAACTTTATCCACTCCATTGAGCATAGACCCTCTACTATTAACAAATGTTTCTTTGGCTTGGTGGGCTTCGTTTTTATAGAGGGGAGGATGGAGCCTCAATTCATATTGTATTTCTCACACAATAGAATTGCTTCCAATTATTATTTTGTGTCCACGTTCAGTTGCACTCCTCTCGGTTTTCTTCAAATGCATTGGTTTCCTTGACTTCTAATTTTCCATAGATAATTACAGATGACGCTACAACAAGCCATCATTTGTCTATCTAAGAGAAAAAGGAGGAAGAGGTAACCTTGTAATGATCTGGAGGAGTGGGCACGACAGCGAATAATTGGTATGTGGTGAGGCTGGCCGTCACCGCTACGCAGTCTTATCCTGAGTAGATCTTAAACAGGAAGAATATTTTTTATCACCTAAATAAAC